CTTGACCACTTTCATGTTTATATAGCCAAAACTTACAAGATTCAAGGAGGGACATACGGGAGAAAGTTTGGAGTCTGCAGAAATGTAGTTCTTCCATTTTATGAGTGTTAGGTTAGTATAGTATAAGATAGTTAGCTAGTTAGTTCATCCATCTTGTTTATTTGCTAGATGAAGAAGAGGTTGGAGGATGAAGAAGGCGAGGAGATGAACTCATGTGACAAGGGTTACATTCCTTTCCAACTCTTTATCTTTTGTACTTCATTCCAAGTTTAGTTAATATACAAGTTATGGATTTATATATTATTATGTGTTTCTAAAGTTTATGTCTTGGGTTTTGGTTGAACTTTCTATAATTGCTAGTGTTTATTATTTGGCTATTTGATGCTATTATTTTGAGCAAGTTATTTAGCATTTTAGCTCTTTAAACCATGATTAATCTAGTGTCATTAATTGTGATTACCTAAGGTGTTGTTTCTGCAATGAAAATTGAGATTTAACACTGGTTCAAGAAGTGCTAAACATGGGGAGTACACTCACATGAGAATAGAGGTGCACCTATGTGGTTTTAGTGATTCATTTCATATAATTTCACAAAAGAAATGAACTTGTAGCTAATTTCATAACCATGAGAATATGTATGGATTAATTATGAGTATAATTGATTCACTACGAAAGTAGGATTCATATGCATAAGGAAATTACACCATAGCTAGCCAAGATAGTAGTTCTCAATGATCTAAAAATAACATTTGCATGAGTAATTAGGGAATACCATAACCTAAGGAGCTTTCATTTGTTATTTTCTTGTATAAGTTCAGTAGGTTTTACTTCTTATAATTCATTAATAGTCTAAATAATAGAGAAGCTTTAGTAGTGCCGGTAATTGTTCAATCTTTTTCGTGGGATCAACCCGATATATACCATTAACTACTAGTTGACCTCTATACTTGCAGTGAAACGGGTGTATTTCGGATTTTTTAACTTGTACGTATAGCAAAAGCCCGTCAGTAAGTGCGTATAACTATTAGAGGTAATATCTATATTTTACCATGGAGTTGAAACTGATAATTGAAGATGCCCTAAATCAGTAGAATGTAAAAATGCTGAATTTGCCTAGAGGCACTATTGTTTCAAAGTTCTAACCCCTTGGATTTTCAACTTTGGATTTCATATTCAGTTCGCATTGATGCGTTTGATAAAATTAAAATCTAAAATTTGAAATTTGAATTCATTAAATTATTAAATTGTTATGTATTAAATCTGATACATTTGAGTATATATCATATTAAGTGATAAGTGAATAACTTATCACTTGTCTTTAGGACAAGTTTTATCTAGAAAATTTAGTACCACTTAATTTATTCAAATATTCAAATTTTGGTTATCAAACGTGTTTGAACATGTTAAAATCTGAATCTATTAAATTTAAGTGCTGAATTAGGTTATCAAACAAAACCGTAATTTGAAGTTTGAACAAGAGAATTGCAACAGAGGATAATGATCACAAGCTAGGATGCTTCATTCATTTCTATAGAGATAATTACATCCGCTATAGATATCCTAACTAAAAAAGTAATTAAATAAGGTTTAATTTATTCCTTCTTCTTTTTTTCCCAATTAATAAATCTAGAAGTAGCTAGAGTGGGAACCGGAAACAGAAAAAATCAAAACTATGCAATTTATCACCAGCTCAAAAAATTTAAATGCGTGCAATTATGGCAATTGATTCATTATTCTTGTTGTGGGGGAACATGTACAGACATGCAGCCATCGCTGAGGAGGAGATTGAGATGAGAATTTTCAGCTTTTGGAGAGTACAAGAAAAAAGAATGTCATGCATGACGCAGAAATCATTGGCATGGTCATTAATTTAATCTTATTAAATTAAAATTATACAAGTTGAGAGCCATCCCCCAACCTCGTCGGTTGGGAATAAATCATCCACTAAGGAAACAGTAGTTGGTGTACTATAAAGCCCCACCAAATTCCAATCTTAGATGGCATTAAAGCTCTCATCTTTAGTATCACCTTCAGTAGTTCGTCGCCGATTACCACTAGTAGGTACTTTCTGTGTCCTAAGCTTCGGTCTTTCCAATCTCTGCCCCTCTTTTAATCCTCCTCTAAAACGGGTTGTGCTCAATCCTCCACTTTCTCCCAATCTTGGATCAAAAGTTGGTAGTAGTGTTCATAGTACAAATAGGATAAGGATGGAAGCAAGCAGCAGAACTGTTCCCAGCATTGTTGTCTATGTCACTGTTCCAAATAAAAAACTGGCAGAAAGCATAGTTAAAGAAAAGCTTGCAGCCTGTGTAAACCGAGTTCCAGAATAGAGTCTGTTTATGAGTGGAAAGGGGAGGTGCAGACAGATCCTGAAGAGTTGCTAATAATTAAGACTAGGGAATCACTTTTGGATGCTCAGACAGAGCATGTCAAGGCGAATCACGAATACGAGGTGCCAGAAGTGATCGCCTTGCCCATAACCGGTGGCAACCTCCAATATCTTGAATGGATAAAGAATAGCACAAGGGACTGAACTCGTTAAAGCCAAGACTATATACAGGAATATGCATTGTTTCTTGAATAAATAAATTCCCTTTTGGTTGATATATAGCACTTTGTGCATACTGTCGCATGAGCAGCGGATGTTTTTGTTGCTTTGAATAGATTGATTGGATATTGTTTGCCTGAACCACTGTACGTTTGACGCATCCATGACCTGTTTTTCAAAAAAAAAAAACAAGTTGAGATATAATTACAACTTGCATATGAAATACTTCCAACGCTCAATAAGCAACCATCTCCATCTACATCTTAACAATGGTTCCACATTTTTTTCGATCTATCAATTGACTCTTAGAATTTGATTGAGCTTGAAAATCAAATTTCATTCTCGAAAAACTTGTTTCTTTTTCCTTGGTGATCTGTTCGCACTTGTGCTCCTCACTTCCTCTGAGGTTCCAACTCGACTAAGTGTTTATTTCATTGTTTTGTATTTGTTTTCTTTTCCTTTCGGTTGTTCCAATCGAATTCTACTCAACATATTGGGCCCATAGGAAGTTAGTAAGGGGATGAGTGTATGATTAAAAATATTAGTGTAATTTGAGAGGAAAAATGAGAGTTGAATCAGAGTCCTCGTATTCACCTAATTAGTGTTCCTATCGATCAAGTTGGATTTTAGGGACCATTGCAATATAATTTCACATCTCTAACATTGTGACCTTACATAGGTAATGGGATCACATTACCAAATTAAACTTGGTAATGGAGAACTTAAACTCCCTACCCATCAATCAAAATTGAATCACATTCGAGGTTGTGACAGAATACCCCATGGATTGATCAAACTCAAAGGTGGCGTAAAACTCTCTAACCAATTCAACAAAAGTAGGACATTGTATTTCGGCATAAGAAGGCCAGCCTATGGCAGTAAACATTTGTGCAATATTCTCAAAGATATTCAAAGAAACCATGATGGGAGGGTCAAGATATTTACAAGGAATAATTTGCCACTCATAATAATTAGAGTATCTTTGCTTATCGACGGCTTTGGTGAGAGCCAAATTACCTCCAAAGTGGGACAGTGAGGAGATATAGACCCCCTTGTCCCTACCTAAGCATGCCCATTTACCCGAAAAAGAAGGATGGTAGAAGGGTCTGTCATGGGTATAGTTGGTTGGGATGGGGGAGTGGTTTTAGTCATAGGGGTGTTGGCCTTGGTGGTCTTTTTTTTCTTAGCCATTTAGATAACTAAATCCAAAAATAGCTATAAACAACAATTCAGACAATGGCGAAATACGAGCCTCTAATGTTTGCCAAACGACTAAAGATAGCCAAGCAATCTCAAATCAAAGTGTACAGTAAAGAGCCAAGAGATGTGACACTATTTAATAACAAAACTAGAAATGTAAGAACAATACCTCCTATCAATATCAACAATTAGCAATTGGCAAGTAAGTAGCGGCAATTTCACCACAGTTTATAACCTCCAATCAGCATTGAATCCCCATGGATGCAAAATAGTAGTGCAAGTTAGTGGTCATCATCAGAAAACAAGCAAATGTCAGGTAGTGCCAATCCAACAATTCGAGGAATACCCAATCAACAAATTAAATCAACCCTGCAAAAAGAAATTCTAATAAACTCCGAAGTAGCAACCCAACAATATTTAAAAGAGAAGGACAAGAATACCAAAAACTGGGTCAGTAGAAACAAGACAACAGAGAAAGTGCGGAGCGATGGCTGTCGCTGGCAGAGGATGGACGTTCATGGTGGTTCAAGCAGCGGTGAATGGCACAATAGCGAGCAACGACGAAACTAGAGATGGGCAATGGCAAAACCAGTGACAGGCTTTGACGAATAGCGAATACAGCAAAGGTAGTAGAGACAAACTAGCGAATTGCGACAGCAATGGACGGTGGGGCGATGAACGGCGTGCAAGCAACATGTAGAGTTTTGGCCATGCAGTTGAGGAAATGAAAGAGCGAAATAAAGAAAGAAAAAAAGAAAGAAGAAAGAAAGAAAGAAGGAAAGGAAAAGAAATAGAAAAGGGAAAAGGCAAAGGAAAGAATAAAAAAAAGGAAAGCAAAAAAAAGAAGAGAAAAGAAAATTCTTTTGGGTTCAATTGGTTTTTTTTCCCTTGCTAGGACAAGACGCGGGCACGTCTTATTGGTTGAAACTCTTTTGATGATAAAGTCGGCTAATTACGAGTTACAACATACCCTCAAGACGTGGGCATGTCATGTTGGTCCATAGTTTTCTAATGATGGAATTGGATATTTGTGCATTACCACATGCCTTTAAGGCGTGGGCACGCCTTGTTGGGAGAAAGTCACCTAACCAATAAAACATTAAAAATTAAAATTAAAATACCAAATTTGAAAAACCTAAGATAAACATAGTGAAACACATAATATTAGTGAACAAACAATAAAAAAAAATTTGATTGCCTCCCAATAAGCGTCTTGCTTTAATGTTTTTGATTAGACATGGTCGAATATTGTTCAAGCAGCATAAGTGGGATCTTCAAGATTTATTATCTCCACCTTCTCCATTGAAACACTTTCATAATAGGGTTTAAAACAATGACCATTAACCACAAATTTCTTAGCTATTTGCATATTCTGAATTTTCACTGCGCCATAGTGAAAAATATTAATCACAACAAATGGACCAGCCCAACGAGAGCGTAAGTAACTTACCTAGAAAGAGCTTTAGACGAGATTGATAGAGAAGAACTCTTTGCCCAACTACAAATGATTTCCTTGCAACTTATTGGTCACGAAAAACCTTAATCTTCTCTTTATATAGTGTTGCATTCTTGTAAGTATTATTCCTCAACTCTTCCAATTCTTGTAATTGAAGTTTTCTATGTATTCCAGCCTCATCAAGATCCATGTTGCATTTCTTGATCCCCCAATATGCTTTGTGCTCGAGCTCAACCGGTAAATGACACGGCTTCACAAATACCAACCTATAGGGAGATATACTTATAGGACTCTTATCGACTGTCCTATAAATCCAGAGTACATCGTTCAATCGTGAACTCCAACCCTTCCTATCAGAGCGAACCATCTTCTCCAATATATATTTAATTTCCCTATTCGAAATCTCTGCTTGACCATTTGTTTGGAGGTGATAGGATGTAAATACCTTATGAGTCACTCCATATTTACGAAATACAGCCGCCATCATTTTATTGCAAAAGTGTTTTTCTCGATCACTTACTATAATTCGTGGTACCCCAAAATGAACAAAAATATGTGATTGAATGAAATCTGTAACCACTATAGAATCATAAGCTTGGGTGGCTTTTGTTTTTATCTACTTGGACACATAATCTACGGCCAACAAGATGTAAAGGAAACCAAAAGATGAAGGAGATGGACCCATAAAATTAATATCCCATGTATCAATAATTTCACAAAAAAATCATAAGGGTTTTTAGTATCTAATTTTTATGACAAATATTTCCTACCTTTGACATCTATTACATGACTTACGAAACAAGTATGTATCTTTGAAAATTGTGGGCCAATAAAAATCGCTTTCCAATACTTTACGAACTGTTCTTTGTGGTCTAAAATGGCGTCCACATGCATAAGAGTGATAAAATAGTAAAATAGAATTAAATTCACTCTACTTACACATCTGCGCAGTACTTGATCTGCACATTGCCACTATAAATAGGGGTCATCCCATAAGTAATACTTAGCATCACATCTGAGCTTATCTCATTTTGTTTTTTACCAATGTGCAAGCAATTGATTAGTGGTCAAGAAATGAATAATATCCGCATACCAAGGAAGAGAGGGATTAACAGAAAATAGTTGCTCATTAGGAAAAGTTTTCCTCAATATAAAATCATCCTTGACAATCGACAATCGACTCAAATGATCGGCAACTAAATTCTCTTCTCCCTTTTTATCACGAATTTTCAAATTGAACTCATATAGAAGCAAAATCCATCTTATCAATCTTGGTTTAGCATCCTTCTTAGTCATTAAGTACCGTAGCGCTGCATAGTCAGAATACACAATCACTTATCTTCTAATAAATAAGAATGAAATTTTTCTAAGGCAAAAATAACTACTAAAAGCTCATTTTCTATGATCGTATAATTGAGTTAAGTTCCATTCAAAGCCTTAGATGCATAATAGATCGCATATTATATGAGCAATTTATGATCGATAATGCCATGCATTATTGTTCTTTCTATCATGTGAAAATGGATGAAATATACATAGCTGGTGAATTAAGTAGACTGTATCGATTTTGATATGTAAGTATGACTTTCTGATTGGTTGCTCATTTTTTGTCTTCGAGGAAAAATCTCCCAAAATAAGTTTATATGGTGTTTCATTGTTGAATCACGAACATTCCTATAGTAAAAATTTTAGTCTTAAATCAGGTTGAACTAATTATATGGAGGGAAAATTTTAGATGCTAAGTGAATGATTTACTCCTCATTTTGTCATGTACTGTCCCAAAAAAAAAAAAGGCTTAAGTGGCTAATTAGTTTGTTAATAAAAACCGTATAAGATCACCTCCAATAAGTTGTTGTATTATCTCTTTGTCTGAGTTTTTATCATGAACATTTTTTGGGGAAAATTAATCTTCAATTAGCTTGGACTACATTGTCTTAAATTAGTTAAGTTTTTGCAGTAGAAAAAAGAAATATGCTGTAGTATAAATTCAATTATCTAGTAATTAGATTACTTTTTTCGATGCCTTTATCTGTTTACCACTAATTGAAATCCACCGTGAATGTTGAACAACTAAGATGGGAACTGTGCTCATGACATTATTGTGCGTTAATTTTTTTTTTTAGTTGCTGTGTGATCGATGAATTTCTATAACTGTATAGGGTTGATCGAAATAATAATTCACTTGGAGTACTCCACGGTCAAACATATAGGAATGAGTTAATTTTTCCTACTTTGATTACTCTAATAAAAATAATAAAATTTAAATTTAGAGGGTTTTTAATCACTAATTAAGAAATTAAATAAATAATCAAATCAAATAAGATATAGGTGAGAAAACAATTAGCAAAAGACTAGAGCTTCAACAAACTTAGTTATTTTTTCAACTGTATATTGAGAATACTTTCATTAGTTGCATTTTTCTCATACATGATTTCTTCCAAATTATATATTTCTAATACTCAATATTCATTCTATATATTATATAATATACTTCAATTCTTAGAAACTTTTAACTACAACCGTAGTTGTTAGAATCGCGATCTACAATCCTACGATATGGATCATGGCTAACGATCCAAATTGTAAGTAGGATAAAAAATTAGCATTAAATTAACAAGATCAATAGGATCGTGATCCAGATCATACGATCCTACGACCCTACTATTTTTCAAAAAATTAAGTAACAATTTTGTATTTTGGCCATATCTTTGTGTAGAAAACTCGAAATTGAGTGTCGTTTATTGCATAGTAAACTATATTTAGACAGCTTTAAATCCATGTAAATAAATCACCCCAATTTTAAAACCTAGAAAATTTGATGAATCTTTAAATTTGACTCATATATTTATCTAAAGTGAATAGATGATCTTTGCTATAGGTTATCACATGGAGCTAGTGTTTTGTGTCTTTATTATAATAAATTAGTTTGGTTTAGAGTCTTTAGAAATGAATTAATACTTTTGCTAATTCTAAGTGGATAAGTGGTGGGTTATAAATTTGAACCCAAAATACATGTTTTTTAGCACAAAATTCTACTCTCAAAATTTTCTTTAATTATTTTTTTATTGTATGTATACCATTTTTTCTATCAATTAAAATATATTTGAAACATTTTATTATATATGTAATATTTAATTATCGTATTATATAAAAAATGATGTAATAATCAATCACTAAATCATAGTTAACTAAATGTACTGTGTTTAACTATTTTATTAATAAGATGATTTATACACATATAAGGTCAACTTTTCCATGTATATTGTTCCATAATTGAATTTCGATTTCCAACAAGAAAGAACAAGTTGTCTAGTTTAATCAAAATACATTTTGAATATATTATAAGTAGTCCCAAATTTCTAGATATTTTTCAAATTGTCCCAAATACTTTATATAGCACAATTATAACCTTAATTAACAATATAATTATATTGATTGCACATGAATTACATTATTTGTTACTATATTTATGGATTGCAAACTTAAAAATTATAAATATGACAATTTATTATATTGATTGCACATGAATATTTTCATTAGTTTCATTTTCTCATACATGATTTCTTTCGAATTATATACTTCTAATACTCAATATTCATTCTATATATTATATAATATACTCCAATTCTTAGAAACTTTTAACTACAACACTTAAATCAGAATTTAGGACGCGCGTTTTATCCCTCCAAGAATTTTATTTTTCCCGCAACGTCCATCAAAATTCAAAGGATTGTTAGAGGCTGAGGGATATATACATAGAAAGGCTGGTCCTCTCTTGTCTCTGTCAATTGAGAAGCACGCATCTGTTCTTCTCTCAAAGGCCAACATTGGTGGTTTTTAGTCCAAAAATAGAAGAACAGATGCGGGAATTGCTAAACGGGAAGGAGACCTCTGAGGAATTGCTAAAAAAGAAGACCCGCCTCCTATCTATCTCCTATGAATTGCTAAACGTGAAGGAGCTTAGGTTTTATTGCTGTCAAAAAATCTTAGAACAACTTCAATGCTTCATCCATTTGCTTCAAATACTGTTAGATCTATATTTTGGTGCCATTTTGTAAGTCTTCATACCCTTCTTGTGTGTTTTTATTACCATTATTTGTGTTAGATTCTAAGATTGCATTATTTTCCTCACAATTTTAGGAAAATTGAGTTCCAACCATCCTTCTGGACTGTGAAGCTAACTTATGTGGGTTATGTGTTTAATATCAAAGATTGCATTTTTCGTTTGGTTGAGGTTTAAGCTAACAACCTCTGACTTTTGCATCTTGTTTCCTGGTCGGTTGAGGTTAACTTCTCTGCTTTTCCTAGTTGGTTTTAGCCCCTATTTCATATGCAATCAGTAAAATTTCTCCATCTAATGTAATCTTCCCTTTTTGTGCAGCTTAATCAAGTTAGATTTAAAGAGCAGTAGTGCTGATATGGAGCCAAATCAAGGCAGTTCTATTGAATGCCGTCTGATCTGAATTTTCCTAGTGTATAGAACAGGTCAGCGTCTGTGTACATACTTAGTGTTGGAGGCAAGAGGACTTGGGGGAGATTTCAGGATTCATAGAATCATAATACCAGCTTGCAATTTACTGAAGTTGAAGTTGCAGTTCCATTGTACTAGGAATTTCTGCAGTTGAACTAAACTTGGTCTATTCCAACATGGGCCATTTGGGTTTAGGTGCTTTTTGTGCACTGATTGTAAAACCTGATTTCAGGTATTAATATTTTGTTTCTTTTGGATATATTCTCACTAATTTCAAGTATTATTATGTTCTGCAATTTTTGATCTTCTCAATATGTAAAGTTGTGTAAGGAGGACTTTGCATATACAAGGACTTGGAATCTACTTTTCAAACAGTTTTCCCAATACGCTTTGTTGAACATCTTAGGCAGATTGGAATCAGCAAATTTATAGGGGAGAAGATGAAATAAAGCTCGTAGAGTACATTTTGCAGCATGGGAAATCTTTGAAAAGATGACTCTGTATTCAGTTATAGAATGACAGGTGTCGAATCTGTGCAATAATAATTACCTATTCAAGACAAATACAAATTTGTATATAGCGGTGAGTTAGGGGTGGGCACGGGTCGGGTACCCGCCCCTAACATGATTTGGCTGACCCGACCCTAATATATCGGATCAGCCATTTTGCGACCTTAACCCGCCTCCTAATATTTTCGGGTACCCGAATAGCGGGTACCCGAAAAAAGGGGCGGGTCATAGGGTACCCGCCCCTAAAAAAAACTATTTTTCAATAAAAAAATGTATTTTCTACTTAATATCAACACGTTTTTCAATAAAAAAAACATGCTTTTCCAATTAATATTGGTAGAGATATTGTAATTAAAGTCCATACATCACCATTTTCACACATTTCATCCAATAATCAAATCGATCTCATAAATTTAGTACATATTAGAATATCTAATGGACAAAACGAAGTTTCATAATAATTTTGAGTACATCACCATTTTCACACATTTCATACTTCTACAA